TAACCTTACACCTAAAGAAACTAGAGAAAAAACAAACAAAACCCAAAGTTAGCAGAAGGAAAGAAATCATAAAGATCAGATCAGAAATAAATGAAAGAGAAACAAAGAAAACAATAGCAAAGATCAATAAAACTAAAAGCTGGTTCTTTGAGAAGATAAACAAAATTGATAAACCATTAGCCAGACTCATCAAGAAAAAGAGGGAGAGGACTCAAATCAATAAAATTAGAAATGAAAAAGGAGAAGTTACAACAGACACTGGAGAAATACAAAGCATCCTAAGAGACTACTATAAGCAACTCTATGCCAATAAAATGGACAACCTGGAAGAAAGGGACAAATTCTTAGAAAGGTATAACCTTCCAAGACTGAACCAGGAAGAAATAGAAAATATGAACAGTGCAATTACATGTAATGAAATTGAAACTGTGATTAAAAATCTTCCAGCAAACAAAAGTCCAGGACCAGATGGCTTCACAGGTGAATTCTATCAAACATTTAGAGAAGAGTTAACACTGTTCTTCTCAAACTCTTCCAAAGAATTGCAGAGGAAGGAACACTCCCAAACTCATTCTTTGAGGTCACCATCACCGTGATACCAAAACCAGACAAAGATACTACAAAAAAAGAAAATTACAGACTAATATCACTGATGAATATAGATGGCAAAATCCTCAACAGAATACTAGCCAACAGAGTCCAACAACACATTAAAAGAATCATACACCATGACAAGTGGGATTTATCCCAGGGTTGCAAGGATTCTTCAATATATGCAAATCAATCAATGTGATACACCATATTAAAAAATTGAAGAATAAAAACCATGTGATCATCTCAATAGATGCAGAAGAAAACTTTTGACAAAATTCAACACCCATTTATGATAAAAACTCTCCAGAAAGTGGACATAGAGGGAACCTACCTCAACATAATAAAGGCCATATATGAAAAACCCACAGCAAACATCATTCTCAGTGGTGTAAAACTGAAAGCATTTCCTCTAAGATCAGGAACAAGACAAGGATGTCCACTCTCACCACTATTAGTCAACATAGTTTTGGAAGTCCTAGCTATGGCAATCAGAGAAGAAAAATAATGAAAAGGAATACAAGTTGGAAAAGGAGAAGTAAAACTCACTGTTTGCAGGTGACATGATACTCTACATAGAGAATCCTAAAGATGCCACCAGAAAACTACTAGAGCTAATCAATGAATTTGGTTAAGTTGCAGGATACAAAATTAATGCACAGAAATCTCTTGCATTCCTATATACAAAGGATGAAAAATCTGAAAGAGGAATTAAGGAAACACTCCCATTTACCATTGTAACAAAAAGAATAAAATACCTAGGAATAAACTTACCTATGGAGACAAAAGATCTGTATGCAGAAAACTATAAGACACTGATGAAAGAAATTAAAGGTGATACAAACCGATGGAGAGATATACCATGTTCTTGGATTGGAAGAATCAATATTGTGAAAATGACTGTACTACCCAAAGCAACCTACAGATTCAATGCAATCCCTAACAAATTACCAATGGCATTTTTTACAGAACTAGAGCAAAAAATCTTAAAATTTGTATGGAGACATAAAAGACCCCGAATAGCCAAAGCAGGCTTGAGGGAAAAAAATGGACCTGGAGGAATCAGACTCCCTGACTTCAGACTATACTACAAAGCTACAGTAATCAAGACAATATGGTACTGGCACAAAAACAGAAATATAGATCAATGGAAAAAGATAGAAAGCCCAGAGATAAATCCATGCACGTACGGTCAACTAATCTATGACAAAGGAGGCAAGGATATACAATAGAGAAAAGACAGTCTCTTCAGTAAGTGGTGCTGGGAAAACTGGACAGCTACATGTAAAAGAATGAAATTAGAACACTCCCTAACACCATACACAAAAATAAACTCAAAATGGATTAGAGACCTAAATGTCAGACCGGACACTATAAAACTCTTAGAGGAAAATATAGGCAGAAGACTCTTTGACATAAATCACAGCAAGATCTTTTCTGATTCGCCTCCTAGAGTAATGGAAATAAAAGCAAAAATAAACAAATGGGACCTAATGAAACTTAAAAGCTTTTGTACAGCAAAGGAAACCATAAACAAGATGAAAAGACAACCCTCAGAATGGGAGAAAATGTTTGCAAATGAATCAACGGACAAAGAATTAATCTCCAAAATATATAAACAACTCATGCAGCTCAATATTAAAAAAAAGAAAAAACCCAATCAAAAAATGGGCAGAAGACCTAGATAGACATTTCTCCAAAGACATACAGATGGCCAAGAAGCATATGAAAAGCTGCTCAACATCACCAATTATTAGAGAAATGCAAATCAAAACTACAGTGAGTTATCACCTCACACCAGTTAGAATGGGCATCATCAGAAAATATACAAACAACAAATGCTGGAGAGGGTGTGGAGAAAAGGGAACCCTCCTGCAGTGTTGGTGGGAATGTAAATTGATACAGCCACTATGGAGAACAGTATGGAGGTTCCTTTAAAAACTAAAAATAGAATTACCATATGACCCAGCAATCCCACTACTGGGCATATACCCAGAGAAAACCATAATTCAAAAAGACGCATGCACCCCAATGTTTATTGCAGTACTATTTACAATAGCCAGGTCATGGAAGCAACCTAAATGCCCATCGACAGACGAATGGAGAAAGAAGATGTGGTATATATATATACAATGGACTATTAGCCATAAAAAGGAACGAAATTGGGTCATTTCTAGAGACGTGGATGGATCTAGAGACTGTCATACAGAGTGAAGTAAGTCAGAAAGAGAAAAACAAATATCATATATTAACGCAGATATATGGAACCTAGAAAAACCGTACAGATGAACCAGTTTGCAGGGCAGAAATTGAGACACAGATGTAGAGAACAAACGTATGGACACTAAGGAGGGAAAGCAGTGGTGGGTGGTGGTGGTGGTGGTGGTGGGATGAACTGGGAGTTTGGGATTGACATGTATACACTGATGTGTATAAAACTGATGACTAATGAGAACCTGCTGTATAAAAAAATAAAATAAAATTCAAAAATTAAAAAAAAATAGACCTTAATTAACAAGGGGAAAAAAAGGAAGATATGGGCAGTAAGAAGATGGGGGCAATAAGAAGATATGGGCAAAAGGCTGCAGAGAAGGTTGCCTTTTTATTTAAATATTTTGATGATACACATACAATTACAACGTTTCTTCCGTAGGACAAATGTAAAAACTAATACAATCACCCTTTCAGGAACAAAGAAAATCATTTAGAAAACGTGGTGACTTTATATATAGGAGACATGTTAGGTTTTTTAAGCCTGTCTGAGGAGGAAATTTAAGACCAAGTTTTGTCTGGAGTACATAGGTCACATTCACATTTTCACACAGTAGTGATATTCTTGTTGCAGACTTGGCAAAAAATAAGTCTATAATGAAAAAAAAAGCAAAAACAGTATGTAGAGAATAAAAAATTTATAGCATGGAACAGTGACCTTCATTTTGGCCACAGGCTTATGGTGTCTAAAAATATTTGCCTTTTATTCATACACGTCAGTGGGAGTAAAAAAGTATAAACCTTTTGCATAACACATTTTTAAGTGTGCCACAAAATGAATTTTTAGAGATTCATTTTCCTAGTAAATATATTAAAAATTCATGGAATCACAGCCTTTAAAATTTATGGAAATTATTTTGTTGTGCAGGATATTTATATAATTGATTACTGATATGCACTTATACTTTGAAATCTGAAATGGATCATTTCTTCAGGGAGCAATAAAAATACTCTATTTATTTGGCCAAAACACCCAAAACACTTTTCAGAAAGAAAAGGCAACATGTACAAATTCAGGTCAGCTACACAATATTTAATATTCCATGTAGTAAGACATGACCAGCTAGTCAATGACTTTGAGATATGGAATAAATCATAATTTCAAACTCATAATTATAGAAATTATAGGGTCTTTCAGTATTTTTTGCAAGTATAGATAAAAGAGAGTAACTTCTAAAATTCAGTTTAATTCTACAAATATTGATTTGGCACCCATGGTAGGCACTGAAGATTTATAGCAGTGAAAAGGATTCTTACCACCATGTATATAGTTAATTTAGATGTGCTAAGTTAGAAGATAATGTATCCTGAGTTTTTTAATAGTATATTATTCTTATAAAAAATAAAGTGATTTTATATTTATGAATTTTGCCCTGAATTATTCTACTGAATTTGAAGTATTTAATATTTTCATGATTATTGAGTGACAAAGGGAAGGTATAATGCTATTTTTGAGGTCATACAACACACGCACACACACTCAGAGTCACATGCACACACACACACACACACACACACACACACACACAGTTACGTGCACAGAAACACAAAATGTGTGTTCTTACCATGTCAGTGTTCCAAAATTCAATTAACCTTACGTGGATTGAAGGGCCTCTAGTTTTAAGGAAATCAAACAAGCAAAACAGGTCACTCAAACTGTGCATGTATCTTTGGATAAATAAGTTGTTGATAATCTGCTAGGTGCAGGAACGTATGGAATACAGAACAGCAACGTTCAATGTTAACATGGTAGGCAAAGAGGCCCACTCAGTTTCATGGGGGGCTCTGTCAGATGGCTCATGAACTGGACACTTTGTTAAATTTGATAAAATTCTTAGAAACCAGCTTTATTCTCTATTTAACTTGCTTTGTGAGTATTGTGAGTATTGTTTGGCCATAAGTCACTCAAAGGCACCTAAGTCACAGCATCATCATTATGCCCCCTCAGTAAGTCCTGGGGCATTTCTGAATTGCACTCTTAGAAGCTGAGACAGTGAGGTTCTCTGCATATTAGTGACTGAGAAAAATTTGAAGCCCAAGGTATATGTGCCTCTTACATCTGTAAGGCTCATGAAAAGCCAGGTCCTTTGAAAACGTGAAATGAGTCACTGCTAGCTAAACTCTGGGGCAGTGTCTGGTTAGGAGGACTGCTGGACTGTGCTAGGCTTGGAGACCCTGGTGGAAGATGTGGTTATTGTATAATTAGAATGACTAGACTCCTTGAAGCCTGAGTCTGGCGGAGGGCCCGGGACTCCAGCTCCAGAAACCACATTCTTTTTGGCCATTATAGAGGTTTCGGCAGGAATCTGGTAATTAGATTGCAGAGTGGTAGCTGGTGTTAGCACTCTTTTCATCACTGTCACATTCTGTCCTACGGCTACACTGGTGTTAGCCCTCTTTCCATCACTGTCACATTCTGTCCTACGGCTACACTGTGCGCGGCCAGAGGGGGCTGCACACGGGAGCTGGGGGTGAGGAAGCGCTCTCTTTCCCGCACCGTAACATAGTGTGCATCGGGCAGATGCGGGGTGCCCTCCAGGGGGCCAGGTGAGCCCCTGTGAGGCTGGATGACTCTCTTGGTAACCATGATGCTACCCTCGCTAGCGTACTGCTGCTCTCCCAAGGGGAACGCTGGGGCATAGACCCGCTCCGTCACTATCAGGCCTTCGGACTGTCTGGGGTCCAGGACCACAGTGCTCAGTGGCACTGTGGAGCCCATGGCATGGGAAGTTTCTGTCACTATCACGTTACCAGAAGCCAATGGATCTGAAAGTGGTGCAGCTATCTTTTGAGCCTGCCTAGAAGACACAGATTTTTCAGTGACTATTTCCTGAGTGACTTTCTCTGTGTTTGCTTCATGCAAACGTTTTGGAACTTGAAAGCTGCTACCGGAGGGATAAGTATTCTCGGAATTAACCCTGGTTTGCTCATAGAATGAATGTGAAGCCGCCTTCACGTCTGTTTCTCTCATAGGTTTTGGCCCCTGCTCGGTTTCCGTATCCATCTCTATTTTTTGACCCCAGCAAACTTCAGCGAGTGTCTTGAATTTCAATCCTAAGTCATCTAAGAAGCCGTCATCTAGCTCTCCTTCAATAAAACTGCAACAGCCAATGGAACCCTGGAGAGAGTCAGTTTCTTCCTGAGAGTAAACCAGAAGGCAATCTTTGGCTGTGTGACTGTCATCTTCCTCGGTATAAGAGGCAGCTTTCTAAAACGGAAAGAAAAACAGGCATATAACGAGTGAAACACTTCCTTTAAGAACATGACTCTAGATTCCTGCTCAAAATGTTGAACCTCGGTCTTGTAGTTAGACAAGAAACACCAGAGAAGCACAAATTGAAGGACATCCTACAACAGGACTGGCCTGTATTCTTAAAAAATATTAAAATCATGAAAGATGAGAAAGGCAGAGGGCACTGTTTCAGGTTAAAGGAGACAGAAGTGTCATGACAGCTAAATGGAAAGCAGGGCCCTAGACGGGAAAAAACAGTGCCTATAAAAGACATTTTGGGGATAACTGGCAAAACTGAAATATGCAATGTGTCACTGTTCAATCTCTGTACTGTGGTAATGTAAGAGGATGTGCGTGTGCGTGTGTGGGTGTGTCTGTGAGAGAGAGAGAGAGTGACAGAGAGACAGAGGGAGGGAGGGAGAAAAGGCAAAAAGCAAATGTGGCAAAGTGTTAATATTTGGGTCATCTGGGTAAAGAGTATACAGGAGTTCAAACTTTCTATTATTCTTGCAAATTTTCTGATGAGTTTGAAATGATTTCCAAATTAAAAGCTGAGCACACATACATAATCAAGACTGGTTCACGCAGGATTACAGCAGAGAGGGAAAAAGATACTGAAATAAAACAGGACACCAGAGTGGAGCCTGGCAGTGAGATGGGAAATGGACGAGAAGTGCTCTTCCTTGACACTGACCAAATCACCATTTCCCCATTTACTTGGGGGCGGGCAGATGGTATGAAAGAAGGGAGAATGGGAGGGAGCAGAAAGTGGGAAAGCACTCAGGTAATTTGCAGCCATGCAGATGGGAGGGGACAGAAATAAACTGGCCTCTGTGGAAGCCCATCCCCTCACTCCTCTCAAGGGTCCTTCAGGTCCCTAGCAATCTGACTCTGCCCATCCCATTCCCAGGCATGACCCTGTTCTCAAGAGAAGCTTCTAATTTCTAATCCCAGGCATGAGCTTTCTGACTGCATCCCATCATCTTTCCTGCAACTTTCCTTCGAATTTTTTTATGAACCACCTCAATAGTGAACCAAGTACTTGCCTTCAAAAGAAAACACTTAAAGGGACATAACGGATTGTGTTTTTTGGGTCACATAGTCTCTCCCCTCCCACCCTACCCGGTGCATCCCTATCAAGTCTGCTTCTGCAGGGGGACAGCACTTTCTGACCCACTGACATCAGCCTGGTCATGTGACTTGCTTTGGCCAATGAAACGCGAGTGGGAAAAGGCAGTGGCTTTGGGGGCCATTGTTAGGTTTGGTATTGCTCTGTTCCCTGCGCCCCAAGGACGCCAGCTTCCTGGGCACAAGCTGTGCTCTCAGCACACATCTTGGAATGCGGACCACATGGGGCAGAGCAGAGCTGCCTCGAGGGGCAAAAGCTCGAATATGGGAAATATGCCTGGGTGAGAAGCAAGATCGTGGGGTCATTTGTTGTCACCACATAATTGAGCTGACTGACTGACCCAGTGGGTCACACCTCTCCTTTCTTATTGCCTGTAAGCATTCTCTTAACGAAAGGAACAATGTCCCATTTAGATCCAAGAAAATGATTACCCTAATAACATCACGTTCACATAGAAATGTCCGCCCCCCTTTCCCCGCCAATACATAAAAAACAACACTTACTTCAGTGAAATAACTTCTTAAGAATTCCTCATTCACTGCCACCGCAGCTGCTCGAGCTCCGGCCACATCTCTAGAAGCCACCGTGGCTCTCGTGGTCCTAAGGGTTTCCGTGGTCATCAAGGCTCCTGTTGTCCCTGTAACCTGGGTGGCCCCCCCTGAGACGAGGCTCCTGTATTCCTCCCATCGGCCGTCCACCTCGGACATCTCATGCTGCCCTTTGATAAAGGAAGCGGAGCTGCTTCCTTTCACGGTGGCACCCTCGGTTGTCACAGCCCCTGCTCCGCCGCCTACAGCTGCACTGTCTCTGTGGTCTGCCTTTAGAAGAGGCAGCACTGCCTGTGAGAGCAAATACAGCCGAGTCATGGACGGTCAGTATGGTTGGTAGAAGGACCTGAGCTAAGTGAGCGTATGCAGGGAATAAGATATTTCCGCAGAGGCAAATTAGGAGAACTTTGCTTGAATGACTTCTGCCGGCCCTGTGCATCGCGTGGAATGGAAATGCAGAAGCACCTGGCTGTGGAGGACAGCCATTTAATGTCGGGACAAACATTTCTACCTAAATCCCTACACACGCTTCCTCTCTTTAAGCTTTGTTCTACATTCTCGGTGTCACTGCCTGATGCTTCTCCTACATTCTCTGTAACTTAGGACCTGTCAGGGTAGAGCAAAACCACCTCAGCTCTGTCCTGGCAACAAATACAAAGTAAGTTGTTATTCCAGCCCTGTGTTTAATGAAGGCATGTGAATGAAATCTGTAGTAACTACTTTACTCTCATGACCTAAGGTGTTAGAAACACTTCCCAAGGCCCCTTTAAAGCAGAAAAGAAGACATGTTCTGTTGACATCTGATTATCTGACCTTGTCTTCAGGTGGTGCCCCTTCGTTGTTCCAAGGATGCAGCATCTCTATGGTACCAGGGATGGGGGTAAAGCCTTTGGCGCCCTTCCCATAATGGCACTTCAGTAGTAGGAGTGGTACAACTGGACAGAAACAAAATTGAGTACAGATTTTCAAATTTATGTTGCATAATTTTGGAATTTGCGTATCACTTCCTGAGTTCAGTCTTCACTTATTTACAGCCCTATTTTTCTGTTTTTCTTTTCTCCCCCTGATCTAACGTCACCAAGCCTGTTTCGGGTGAGTTATACCAAAGCCTAAAGGCAGGATGAGGGAGTCTTATGGATTCAGAGTTCTTGGCCATCACAAAGACTGTGGTCAACAAGTGGAACACCGAGACTGGATTTGATACTATCCAAATCATCAAAACCAACTTAAAGGCTGAAATTTTGGGGTTTTTTTTTAAACCACTTTAATTTTTAATATGAGAAAAATTCACCATCTAAAATATATATGTGTGTTAAAAAAGAAGTCAGAAGTACCTAAGGGTAGAAAAGCTTTAATATATTCAAATATTCGAGAACATTAGAACTTCTATAATATTTGACCACTTTACCCTAGAGTAGAATTTGGCAGAAGGCATGACTCACTGAGGTTCCAGTTAACCTTTGAATTACCTAAGTACTATTTTCTAAAGTGATTCCACATTAAAAACCCTTAGAATATATACAACATTTCATCTAGAAGTTAATAAAATTTCAGAGCTCCCTCCTTCAATTTTATTCTACCTCCAGGATGAAGTAAAGGCCAACGCTGGCCCCTTGATCAACAGAGTAAAGAATTAACCACATCTGCAAGCAGCCCACCCCAAATTAGCTTTTATTGACGCTCCTATGTGGCAGCTTCCAAGTAAGAGCTGACTACTCCCTAGGCTCCTTTTTATATAATAGTCACTATAGTTACTCTGCGTAATGAAAAGACGTAATGAAAAGATCAGCCAGGGGTAATTCAACAGATGTTTATCAAGTGTCTGCCATGTGCGAGGCACCATGTTAGGTGCTGGGAAACCTGAGATGAGAAGGCAATGCAAGGAATCTCCAGGTAAAAGATGTAGTCCTACCTACCTATAAACTTGGTAAGCTGAGACAAGTCATTTACCATCATGCCTGTATTTTTACCCATTAAATGGAGATGATGGTATAAAAGTGCACTATAAACTGTTGAGTGCTGTGCATTCAACTGAACATCTACTAATGGCTTTGACAAGCTCGTCTTCTGACACTGTAATAACTGAGGCTGCCCTGGAGGCGTTTCTCTGCCCATGAGCAGGGGTCAAGTGGACTGGTTCCACACGACCCCAGGCTGCAGTCTTCTGTTCTTCAGTGAAAGGAAACCCAAGGTCGTTGGAGGGCATGCTGGGAGGGGAGGGCTGGTTGTCACTGCTGGGAAACATAGAAGTGCTCAGAGGGTCTGGTTCCTGTTGGGGCAGGTGAAGGGGCAAGCCAAGCAGAGGGTCTGGGGAGGTGGAGCTCTGACAAGATGAATGTGAAAAGCAAGGATCGATGGGAAAAAGATGAGTTTGTAAAATAACCTTGTAACCATAATCTAAATGCATGCAACGAATCTTTTCTGACAGCTTTCTATGCACAAGGTGCTGTTCGCGGCACTGGGTATGGAAGAGCAGACGACATCCCTCCCTCACGCAGAGCTTATCAAAATGGAGACACCAAAAAGGTTTAGGTTAAAAGGGTGTTGCAGAGCATGTACAATAACCTTGGTTATTTAAATCAGGGATGGTACAT